AAGAAACATTTTGGTAACAAAAACAGTTTTCAATTTTAGTGGTCCTTACAGTAGAATACGGCCCACTAACTTGACCAATCACGGCGCGCGTACTAACCGAGAGATATAATAAAGTACGGTAGATACATTACGTCATATTTCTGTGACCGTTAGTAATGTGATTTGCAGGGAGTGAAAAGCGAAGGAAGACTTGATTTTAAAGCTACCTTCCACGATGGGACGACAACGGTAACAACTGAATCGAATAAACTGAGTTCGGTTGATGGTAAGTCATAGAGTGATATGCCTTGACTTGCTTTTTAGAGGAAACTGGTGTTCCTTAGAGGCATTTTGCAATCAAAAACAAGGCTCGACAAAGGTCAAACGTAAAACTTTTGTTTTAGCCTGATCATTTTCATATACATCTTACTCGCATGTTTCTGTTGCCTTAAAACTTTACTTGTTGGAATTGCACTCAGTTATCTGGTGAGATTAACTAGTATCGTCCGTCTCTCTTAGATTTGGAATACAGCGAGATTACAGACGCTCCCTTGAAACTCGCCGAGGGTCTTATGGACAAGCGCGTCACTGTAAAGTATGCCCACTTACTCATCCTTTTGTCACCGACGTTTGGTTGCATGATTTTCAAACCAGAATATGGTACCATTATTGAAACCAGGAGTAATGTAGATTATTCGATTGAGTTTATAACTTGTAAGAAGACTTTAAGTAAGAGTATAGCAACATCTACAAGTTAATAGCTGGGTTAAGTGTGGCTTAGTACAGCTAAAACTAGTTTAGTCACAGAGCTAAGCACTCGTTTATCACTGAGATTTGAAACGTGAAGAAGCAAAGAGTGTAACTAGTGGGAGAGTGGGAAAAACGCAACAAGAACATACGAGACGTAAAGGAGACGATTCCTACTTTTCTCGGATTGTTTCGAGCAAGCAACAAACGTTTATTGAAACAATCAACCCGATCAATTGTTGTTCTTGTTTTTATTTTTCAGAGAAGACCATATTGCATTAGCTATGCTCAGATTGTTAGAAAATGAGAAAGTAGTTTTAGAAACAAATGGTGCAGCTGGGCTAACGGCTCTTATTGGAGGATACCTGCCTGAACTCAAGGGAAAACGGTGAGATTAAATACTACACACCTTGAATATTCCACCAATGAAATGGCTTTTCAGCAATCTAACCAGTCCATGATGGGCGAGCTCCTATATATGTACATATCACAGTGTGGTATATCACGGTGTACCACAAGAAATTCTGAACATCTCCCGAATCCTTCCCAAGATCAACGAATATCACGCGAACATTTGTTAATACCTCCGACTATTTTCAGAACTCATCCGAAAGTTTTGGAAGATTTCCGAAGATTGCTGAAGATCACTCGAGCTCGCCGGAGACTTTCACCCCTAATACGTACAAAATTCGCATTTTCATCTTTTTGAAAACTTTCAGTGGGACTGTTTGCATTGTTCCGTGGAGTGCACAGCGCACGTTTTGGCGGGAAACAACTTGAGAAGATGACGGACGCGACTAGTAGTGGCGGGAAAAAAAAACTGAAGGGACTTACGGGACGCTACACATTATGGCGGGAAGCAACCAAATGCTATGATAGAGAACGCAGACTTAAAATATTAGAGTGAAAACACAGCTGTGACAGATGCGCCATACTGTAAAACCTAGACAACCATCGCTTTCTTGTTAGTCAAATCGCCATGGCATAGAGGAAATAGTTTCACGCCATCATTTGAATCTTCTTCTTTTATAGTGAAATCTGCATTTAGCAAGTCTTGTTCCTTTCTCATTTTTCAGGGTGGTAGTTGTTCTTAGCGAGGGCAACATGGAGCCCGCCCTTCTTCCACGGGTAATTGCCCGAGGGCTCACGACGGATGGAAGACTGGTACGATTTGAGGTTCGGATCGATGATCGGCTGAGTACCATGGCAACGCTGTTGCGGCTGATAACATCAACAGGGGCCGTGTAAGAAAAGGTTTCCAATCCAAGGAATAAAAACAACGCATTTTTCCTTTTCTATCGTTTGCACATAGTAATCAGGAATTGACAAACAAACAAACGAAACTCCCAAAAATAAAAACAAAAACATCGGTGGCACGCGAAATCAGCCGCAGCGATGCAAGGCGTTTGTACCAGAAAATTCTCCTACCAGCTGAAATAGAGTTGTCAGTTGTCTTGGAAATGTAGATGCTAGGTGTTTAATTTTGTTGTATTTTGGATCTCAACAGTATTAAAGATGTCAGCCAAGAACAGGCATGGAATGATCCAAGTGTGCTATGTCTACAGGTATCTGCGCTTTTTTTTTTGTTTTTTGCTTCGTTTAAAATCTAAGGCTGTATCATCATATTCCGAGTTCAGGGCAAAAGACTCCAGAGACGCGCATAAAATAGTGATCGCCAACACTCTCAAAGCTAAGAATTTGATAACTCGCACAACTTAGGCACTTGAGGTACACTTGACCACCACTTGAGGTGCAGTGAAATCTGTACCAACCCTGTTCAGCCTGGACTTTTTTTGTCGTTCGTGAACCAGGGGAGAAAAATGTCGTTGACAGCATTACAAGAGTATCCCAGCCTTGATGCCGAATCGCTTCCTAGTCGCCTTTTTTTTTTTTTTGCCGAATTTTTATTATGTTTATTCTCTTGCAGGCAAAAGTAATGGTTGAAGTGAGCGACCGTGAACACTCTCGTCAACTTAAGTCTCTCTTAGATCAGAATTTCCAAATCACTTTTTGTAGCTCTGCAGTTAACAACAAGGAATGATACGTCATTGGTGGATCAGTGAAACCAAGAACAGCTTCAGAATAGCTAGAACTACTTGCGGTTGCCTTATTCGTAACTGGAGGCAATATCGCGAAAACAAGGGGAAAAAAAAGGAAACACAAAAAACTGGACATGATGGGCATAAAGAGAGTCGACAGTTAACCACATTGTAGTCTGATTTGAAAACTCGGTTTATGCAGAAGCTCCAAAGTCGACAAAGCTTGTCACACCTCAAGGATGTGATTTGTTGAGAGTAAAATTAAAATTAGAGGCATGTATAGATATCTAGAATTGGTTGCTTTAGTTTTCTGCTCTGTTCTCTCAAATGCAGCACAATATTTAATAATTATAAAACTTAATTGATTATCAACTTGAAGTTGATGAAGGTGACATGAATTTGTAAACCATAATAGTCAATTTTGAGGGGTGGTTATAGTTTTGTAGAGGCAAGAGTGGGGGGGGGGGGGGGGG